TTTTTGTTTGTCTAAAAATTCTTGGTGTGTTTCATTTGTAATGTAAAAACCATGTTGTCCATGTGCAGCCTATAATATATAAATTTCTTTATATATATATATATGTACATATATGATTTATTTCAGACCAAAAAGAAATCATTCTCCTTACTGATAAATCTGCTTTAAGACGTTCAATTTGGTATATATATTCTTGAATCAATGCCTTTTTAGTCACACGCTGATTAGCAACTGGCTTATTACGAATATTTTTAGCACGAGTTGCATAATCCAATGTTGATATGGTCTCCTCAAGGCTCAATCTTACTGGAGATATGGTTGCAATAATACAAGTTTTGGTTCTACCTCCAAGTGAGTCTTGTAATAATCTTGTCAATTTACTTTCTCTTGATGATAATAAAAATAATAATAAAGTAAAAATCATTATTATTAATTAATTATCTCCACTTAACAATATTTAATTAATTAATATACTGTACCTATAGGGAATATGTAGAGAATGTCCATTAAGATTATTAATACATCGACCAAGTGTTAACAAGCTTTTGTTAATTACTCCAGCTTCTTTTGCATGTTTGTTTTCAGCACCTGTACGAGCAATACATTCTGATCCTGCTAAATCAACAAAATTAAATTTACCAACTTTCAACAAATCTTCACCATCAGGCATTGTTTCTTTAATATGAACTGTAATTGTAAATACTGAGTGTGAACGACTATTAATAATAATAATAATAGCATAGCATACATTATTTCAATTAATGCATATACTAATTGTTTATGTAATCACTAAATTTTTATTTGCTAGATACCTTGATTTATCATTATAATTAGTTGAAGCATTTTGTCTTTTAATAGATCCTTGTTTCAAAACATTGATACCTTCAGCAGCATCTTTTAAAGGCACTTCTTCATGTCCATACAAAACACCTTTATTATTACCATCATCGATAACTTTCAAACTTTGTTGGCTATTATTAGACAAAAGATCTTTCAATTTTTCATTATACAATTCAATATAAGAAACCTTCACTGAATAATCAGCAGATTCTGATTCCAAAGTTTGAAAAAGACTGCAAAGAGAACGTGGAATGACACCAGCATTTGGACTAATAATCACATTGCCACCACTAATACCATATCTAATATTCAAATCTCCTTCCATTGTATACGTTTTACCAGTTGATGTTTGACCATACGCAAACAGAGTACAATTAAACCCATCCAACACCTCATACAATATTGGGTTAACCACAGAATCAAATATTTTTTGTTGATTTGCTTCTTTCCCGAATACTTTGTCGAAAGTATAACTTTTACAAGATGCATCCTCAGTTTTTAATCGTATTTGTACATCACGATGTGTGGTTTTTATGACAACTGGAGATTTGATTTTCTCCTCTCTTTCCAACTTTGCTCTTTTAATTGAAAAAATTTTTTCGAAGAACAACAAAGCGTTAAGCAATTATGTTTAAAAATTATTGTTTAGTATTTTTATTCTTTGTATAACTCACCTGCACCTAACTACTACTTGAATATTCATTTCTTCAATCTTCCCAACATTATCAAAATTACTTCTC